GTCAGAAAACAAACAAACGGGATGAATGGTGGAACGCAACACTGCACGGCTGCCCACGTCGTGGCGAGCCGCGGGACATATGCTGGAAAGTAAGAAAAGATAAATCCGTCTTCCATTATGCATTCAATCGAGAAAAAAAACTGTACGCTGGTGCGTGGCCTCCAAATCGGTGCGTTTGTTTCGCCTGCAGATAATGAAGAAATACGTTACACTCGTTATAGTCGTTTAAACCCCCGGTGCCCAGACATTATTTATATTCCACTGGGACACTCGGCGTGGTTTCGTGTCCCCATTCCATTGTCTCTTTTATTGGCCGGCGCCATCGGCGTGGCACACGGTGCCGAGCGCGCCTCTGATCAAACAAACAAACAAAAATAAGAACACTGAGTAGATCCCGCCATTTTCGGAGGACCACAACACGGGGGGGAAATAAAAAACCAACCAAACAAAAACCACGCGATGATGGCCCCGGGGGGAGCATGCTTCCAAATGGAGGAAGGGACCTGCGCGGCGAAGGGGGTACAAAGTAGAATAAAATGGTTAAAACAAGGCGTCACAGAAAGCGGCAATTAATTTAGAAGAGTGCGTGGCCAGACGCATATGTTCCCGCTGGAGGCAGGAAGTCCTCACTGCAGTTTCTCAGTAAAGGGCCACAAAGGTGCAAAACCCCAGCAACCGAGAGATGCCCTCACGCATGGAGCCGTCACTGTTACCTTTTTTGGCGTCGCTCTTCTTGACCATTTTTAGTTCACCGACACTTAGTGGGTGGTTGTACAGAAAGACGTACGTCACCGTTACACTGCTGCCGCTGTCTCCCTCGTCGCCCCCAATGTAGAAGAATGAGGCTTCAGGCCCCTGCGTCTCAAGCGTTGGTATCGTCTCCGGGGTCCCCACAATCACACCATCCACGTACACGGAGCCCTTGTTGCCGTCCTGCAGCATGAGCGCCACCTGATATTCTCTCCCAGGTTCCCAAGTGCTCCCCGGTGCTGTTTTTGTGCCGTCAAACACTGGCTCCCACGTTTTATTCATGCCGTACGACAGCCCAATGATCTTCGCGCCGGCACCGTCCCCCAGACCCGCACCCAGCAGAGGAGTGCTCCCCTTCGGAACCTGGTGGATGGTCACCGTCGCCACAAGGGTGAATCTGTGGTTCACAAAGCTGTACTGTCTGTTATCCTCCCGGCTGTTCACGGGCCATTTTGCCATGGATCCAGGCCCCGTGAATTTGAAACCATCCTCGACCTTCGCTGCCTTCGTCACCGTTGCATTCACGCAACGGTACTCGTCGATCCACATGTCGCCACCGGACGACGTATTGGACAGGAATCCAACCAGACCAGCCGTGGGTGTGGACGAAGCGGAAAAGGAGGCGTCAAGCTGTGCCCAAGTCCTCAGGACAGAATTGATCGTCTTCAGCTCATCAGTCAGGCGGGCAAGGGATATGCCCCGGCGCGTTCCCACAATACTCTCTCGTGAAAGGTGCAACGCACCATCCGAGTACAGCAGGACGTTGGTAAGCGTCTCACCCACAGCATGATCCGTAGAAAGGGCCTCAAGAAGAAACGTGCGGCTATTGTCCGTGACCCAAAGGTATAGCGCCTTGGCTTCAGTCCCCCCAGAAGGGGTGCCCTTGCCGAGTGTACAGCATGAGTTTCTTTCCCTCAATGGTCGCGGTGATGAGGTCTCCCACACGCAAGCCTTCGTCCGGATAGTCTCCCGGTTGTGAGTTGACCCACACGCCTGAGAGTGTCCCGATGGCCTCCGTCCACGTTTTCCCCATGTCACGCGACTCGAACACACTCTGGCCATTCTCGCAATCAACAATCATGAGAAGCGATCCCGTGTCCCATTCGGTGATGCGGGGTTAACGTCAGTCCGCAGAGGAAATGTCCTCAGAGAGCGACCAAGTACTGTCGTTGTTCGTCGAGTAAATAATCATGGAGTAAACGCCATCATTTTTTTCATTCACCGCCATCAGAGGAAACACAAGCGTGCCATCCTCCATCAGAGCACCTGAGCCACCAGAAGCAATATAATCCGTCAAGTTACCTTTGTGAGCAGCTATAGCACTCTCGTTCAACGGAGACTGGATTTCGCCCCATTTGATCCGTTTACTCGGCTCGCCGCCCGTGGCATTCGTGACCTCACCAACTACCAGTTTTAGTTCCAATCTGCCCTCTTTCCAACTCCCATCTACATAGGACAAGGCAGTGCTTCCCACAAGAAGAAACACCCTATTGCCCTTCATGGTGGTTGTGGGGTGGCGCACAACATCAAAACCCTCTTTCCCCTCCGCTTTACCAAGCACAGTGTGTGCCCTCCATTCTTCCTTTACCGACCTTTTCAACAAGAGTGGGCCATTCCCACGCAGAGTCGATGTTCTCCGCAACAACATCAGAAGAAAGGGGCTTAGTTGATTGATCATCTTGATATTTGGCATTTATGTGACCTTCAAAGAAAGCAACAATCACTCCACCAGCACTGACGAGAGAGGGTGAAACAAATGAATCCCTCGTCTTAACTGGAACAGTCCCCTTCCTCGGCAGCACCTGTGTCGTCTGCGGCACAAAAAGATCGACCCGTTGCAGCCCCTCAACACCCCCTGAAGTGCTCCCCTCTCCAGCAATGGCACCCGTCAATGCCGACCCAGGAGTTGAAGCATCAGCATTACTTCCCACCTGAGCGGTCGCAGCTCCACTGCAGCACAACGTCACGACGAGGAGGAGCAGCACCACGGAAGCAAACACATGCCGGGACGTGTTGGGCCTCGGCGGCTCACTCTCTCCTCCTTCCCTCCTCCTTCCGCTGGATCCGGTCACGCGGCGACGGTTGTGTGTGCGGGGTGCCTTATCTGCAGCAACACGTGAGAGCATACAAATATGTGTGCGTGGGCGGTGTGTGTGCTGTTGATCCTTTCAGTGCCTTTGAATCTCACAGTAGCGATTAGCGCTTGCTTTCTTTCTTCGTAAGAGAGTGTGTTCAAGAAGTGGAGAAGACGACAACAGCGGCAATACACCAGAAAGGTCAGTGGGGAGCAGAGCAGAGCACCCACGCAGAGAGCGAGGCACGAGACAATCCGGAAGGGACAGCACGGAGGACCATCGCACACAGAAAAGAGCAGCAACACGGCAAGTCACGGCGGGCCGTCGGTGTGTGCGGGCCAGCCCTCACGCAGTGTAACACGCCACACCCAAAAGGGAATGACAGACAGACAGGCGGAGGGAGATGAATGGATGCCGTCAAGAGGCACTCACAATCCACATGGCCCGTGAGCATGCGGCCACTCCACGCAGGAACGCAGGAGAAAAGGGAGAAAAAGCCGGAAGCAGCGCAAACACACAAAAGAAACAAACGACAGGCGGGAAAAGCACCGTCACGGTCCTCGCCCTGGCCGGCAACTCCACACCAGCCCTCACACAAACACACACACACCATCGCAGTGCTGCCAGTCCGCGGGTAAGAGGATTCGGCCCTCCACAAAAGGAAGGCACACACCGCCAGCAGTCACACACCAATGGACAAGGAGAAGAAGTGATTCCTCATCCATCCATGACGCGGCAACAACATTTCCAGCCATTCCACCCACAATGGAATTTAATGCCCGACTCAAAGCGGTCATAGGTGGTGCATCACGCCTGCAGGAAAAGTGACTCGCCGTGCGCGCTCCCTCTCCTCCCCTCGCTTCATGCCCACAGAAGGAGGCGGCAGCCACCCGCACGCACTACAAAAGGAAGCATCCAAATCCACTGCAATGTGTATTTTGGGTGGTTGTGTGTGCCTGCAGAAACACGAGGCAAAGAGGTAAAAAAACAAAAGCAGAGCATTTAAAGAGACACACAAACAAAAATGTACAGCAAAAGTGCATGGCAAAAATAACAGGACTGCTCAAACTCATGACTGCACTGCAGACCAAAGCAGCGGCAATTCATAAAAAATTAAATAAAAATAATACAAAAAATTCATCTTCACCTTTCCAAAACTCACACCTTAAAAAAAAAGAAAAAATGAAAAAAAAAAAATGAAAAAAAAAAATGAAAAAAATGAAAAAAGCAAAAAAAAAAAAAAAATTGAAAAATGTCGTCCTCTATTACGGCTACACCCAAATAAAAAAGAAAAAGAAAAAGAAAACCCACACACACAAAAAGCACCTAACTACCATGTTGCTCCAGAAATTGTCTGCATATTTTGTCCGAAAAGAAAATTAAATATTTGAATGTCTTTCAACTGTCCGACCCTCCATGTGTCCGCACATCGTTTATATTTCATGGGTCATCTGCGTGTTGCTGCTCCCCTCAGCCCTCCCATCGGCGTGCGAGTGCGGCCCGCAGAGCACAGTCACTCGTGTGTGTGTGGGGACTGAGAGAAGCACGCAGACACGACGGGAATCGCGTCACTCCATCGGGAGAGTGAGCGCAGCAAAAAAAAAAAACACGGCGGCAGGGCGTGGCTGCGTGTGTGTGTGTGGCGCTGCGGGTGTCTGCCAGCCCTGGCCGCAAAGAAAACAAAACAAGAGGGAGAGAAATGTGTGCTCCGCCCCACAGGCCCTCGTCGCACGCCCACACTTCACGGCTCCCTCAGCGCGCCGTTCGTCGCGGCCCCTCCTCATGCGTGCAGCAGGCGAGGCGCACAGGGCCGTCGTCATGTGCGTGTCGGTGGGTGTGCGAGTGGAGCAGTTGGGCGGGAAACACACGGCACCCCTCGCAGGAAGAGTGCAGAAGAAACAATTAAAGAGGGAAGAGCAGAAAAAAAAAAAAAGTGTCCATAGTGATTGCCCCAAAAGCAAAAAAAAGAGGATGGGGGATGAAAAATAAGAATTTAAACAATTTAAACCATTAAAAATGAAAAAAAAAAAAACGTTCATATTGGTTGCCCCAAGGCAACAAGCAAAGAAAGGGGGAGAAAAAAAAAAGAATTGAGGAGAGTAATTTATTCCTAGCGGTGTGTGAGTGTCGGTGCAGGGAATGGCACAAGTGCTCCACACTGAGACCGCACACTCCTCACGCAGTCGCAAAGCCCCACAGTCCCAGCAGAAGCAGCAGCGGCAGCAGCACCCTCCCGTACGCGGAACCAGCATCACCATTTGCCCCACCATCACCCGTTTCTCGTGCCGTCCCTTCATTCCCAGCAGGTACAGCAGGCACCGCAGGTGCGACAGGTGCAGCAGGTGCGACAGGTGCAGCAGGTACGACAGGTTTGGGAGCAATTTTTACTTGTGGTTCTGGAGTGATCGTCGGAATGGGTTTCCTTTCCTGGATTGCAGTCCTCTCAGTGGAATTTAGTGGGCGATTGTAAAGAAAGACGTTCGTCACCGTCACATGGGACTCTTGGCTGGGGTTCTCCTCACCGCACGCGCCAAAGCAAAACGCGAAAAGCTCAAGTGGCTTCTCACCTGTTAACGGCACTTCTTCCTCCCCCAGCAACTCACCATCAACGTACACAGAGGCCTTGTTGCCTTGTAGCATGAGTGCCACTTGGTGTTCTTTCTTCGGCTCCCAAGTGCCACTTTCCGTTGTTGGTTTTTTCTCGTCCTTGAGCATCGTCATCCACTTGTTATCCGCGGTATACAGGATTCTCATGGTATGCGTGGGCTCAGTGTTCGCCAACACCGCAATCAGTAGAGGAGTGTTCCCACTCGGGGCCTCTTCGATTGTCACCGACGCCACAAGTGTAAAGTTGTGGTTCAAAAACACATGACGCTTATTATAATCCGGAATGTTCACAGGCCACATTACCCCGGAGTCAGGCTCCGTCAACTGAAACCCATCTTTGACCTTCGTGGCGTTCCTCACCGTCGCATTCAGGCAAAGATACTCGTCGTTCCACGTGCCATTGTTGGCCGATGCGTTTGAAAAAACTGCCACCAGACCCGCCGTGGGTATAGACAACCCGGAGAAGAAAACGTCCTTTTGCGCCCAGGTCTTCAGGACGAACTTGATTTTATTCAGTTCCTCCGCCAAGTGGGAAAGTGAAATGGCACTGCCTTCACCACTGGCCATCCGTTGTAAAAGATGCAACTTGCCATCCGAGTACAGCAGGGTGCCGGCGAACTCCTTCTCCCCAGCATTGCCCATGCCAACTGGTCCAACAGAAAACAAGCGGTTGTTGTCCGTCACCCAAAGGTAGAGCGTATTGGCGTTATCCCCCGAGGCGTGTCCTCTCTGTGTGTACAGCATGACCTTCCTGCCCTCAATGGTCGCGGTGATGAGGGCATCCACATGCAAGCCTTCGTCCGGATAGTCTCCCGGTTGTGAGTTGACCCACACGCCTGGAAGTGTCCCGATGGCCTCCGTCCACGTTTTCCCCATGTCACGCGACTCGAACACACTCTGGCCATTCTCGCAATCAACAATCATGAGAAGTGATCCCTCCCACTCGGTGATGCGGGGTGCACCGCATTTCGCAGGGGAAATGCCCTCAGAGAGCGTCCAGTTACTGCCGTTGTTCGTCGAGTAAATAATCATGGAGTAAGCGTCAACTTCACTTTCTCTATTCATCGCCATCAGAGAAAACACAATGGTGCCATCCTCCATCAGAACACCTGAGCCACCCGAAGCAATATAATCCGTCAAGTTACCTTTGTGAGCAGCTAAAGTAGTCCGCTTCACCGGCGATTGAACTTCGCCCCATTTGATCCGTTTACTCGGCTCGCCGCCCGTGGCATTCGTGACCTCACCAACTACCAGTTTTAGTTCCAAGCTGCCCTCTTCCAAACTCCCATCTACATCGGACAAGGCAGTGCTTCCCGCAAGAAGAAACACCTTGTCGCCCTTCGTAATTGTTGTGGGGCGGAGCACAACATCAAAACCCTCTTTCCCCTCCGCTTTACCAAGCACAGTGTGTGCCCTCCATTCTTCCTTTTTGACCTTTTCAACAAGAGTGGGCCATTCCCACGCAGAGTCGATGTACTCCGCAACAACATCAGAAGAAAGGGGCTTAGTTAATTGAGCACCTTGATATTTGGCATTTATGTGACCCTCGGCAAAAGCAGCAATTACTCCACCAGCGCTGACGAGAGAGGGTGAAACAAATGAATCCCTCGTCGTAACTGGAACAGTCCCCTTCCTCGGCAGCACCTGTGTCGTCTGCGGCACAAAAAGATCGACCCGTTGCAGCCCCTCAACATCCCCTGAAGCACTCCCCTCTGCAGCAATGGCACCCGTCAATGCCGACCCAGAAGTTGAAGCTTCAGTGGCCTTTTCCACCTGAGCGGTCGTAGCTCCACTGCAGCACATCATCACGACGAGGAGGAGCGGCACCGCGGAAGCAAACACACGCCGAGACATGTTGGGTCTCTGCGGCTCACTCTCTCTTCCTTCCCTCCTCCTTCCGCTGGATCCGGTCACGCGGCGACGGTGGTGTGTGCGGGGTGCCTTCACTGCAGCAACACGTGAGAGCATATAAATATGTGTGTGTTTGCTGTTGGTCCTTTCAGTGCCTTCGAATTTCACAGTAGCGATTAGCGTTTGCTTTCTTTCTTCGTAAGAAAGTGTGAAAGAAATAAAGAAATCAAATTAATATTTAAAAAGCATCAAAAAAGAACGTGGTAGAGGAGTGGTGGCGCCACCATCCACAGTGTAACACATCAGCGTCGTCGTAACCGCCACAGTAATTATTCTCACCTTTCACAACGGCTCAAGCACTGTGAGGCCACACACAGAAGCAGAGAAATTGACGGTTGCGCACGGGCCAAGACGCTCTCCGGCAAACGGCACCAACCAACAGACAGACAGCAGAAAGTAAGTGCGAGCAAAATCCCAAGTGCTGCGGGATCCTTGCAAGCAGCGCACCGTAACTGAAGAGCCTTTAAGGCGTTCCTCGCTGCAACATCCCCCGCAACCCCCTCGACGTGTCGGTGGATTTTCCCGTTCACCGGAAGAAAAACGGCGGGATGCTTCGGCAGTGGTCGAAGACACACAGAGCGCACCGTCGACGCGATCAACGAGCGCAGACCCTCGTGAAGTGCGATCCCGCAACCGCGATCCCTCCATTGACTCTCCTGGACGTTAAGGAGGCATGAGATGTCCTCTTCTCTAGAGTGGTTCTGAAACGCAAAAAACTCCGCAGGACATCCCGCGCAGTCGCGGCCTCCTCAGCAGCCCGACAGTCCACACCGTCGCACCGCTCCTCAAGAGGTCGCCAGGCCCGGTAAGGCAAGCAAAAGGAGAACAGCAATTTGGTCAAGACGTTCAGCAAAATAAGGCACAGCAGTCGGGTAGGCGCGGCCCATCCACGTCCTCCCCCTCAACCGACCCACCACACAGTCGGATCACACACCCAAAAAGAGCCGTGGCGTCTAACGAAATAGCATGGTCAATAGCACCTCGTGCTATCCTCAACGGAGTGTCATGGCACACACGAGGCAGCATCAAAAGAAGGGACAAATACTTACATTCCATCGGCATAAGCACGGAAATAAGGCGCATAATTTGCCCCGTGAACTTCAATCCAAATCGTCTCAGCCACAGAGTTTGTGTCGCCGACCCTCAGGAGGGGCTGATGCGTCAACTGCCGCTGACCGATGCCTCGGCGATGCAACAAAAAGTGCCACCGTCTCTCGGGGTTCGTCGCCACCCTTTCCTCCCATTGGGGAAAGGGAACGCAAGGTGACGGTGTGGGCGTGTCTAGCCGACAGAAATGGAGGAATTGACTCCAGCCGTAAAACAAATTGAATGAATCCTCCTCCCGAATCCTTCAAAGACACCGGTCGGTCAGCTGCCGAGGTTGACGGCGCGGAGGACAACACCTTGAATGCATGGAGCACTGCAGCGGCCTGAATATATTCTGCAATATCCGCGGTCAGTCCATGAACGCACAACAAAGAGACAGCAAGTCCAAAGGGGCGTGTGAGCCCGTCAACGATCACCCGCGCTGGGGGATCGCCACTCCCACCCTCTGGGGGCACCTCAATGACGTTAAATATTTCCACCGCATGGCATAAAGCATCGCCTTGCAGCACCCCATGCAATGCGGCAATCGAAAACCATCTCGAACACGGCGTGCGACAAAGATACCAAAAGAAGGCGCAGCAAATGTCCTCCACATCTCAGCAGCTCCAATCATCCAGTAAAAGGCAGGAGCACCAGACAGTACCCACGGACTCACCGAATATGGCGTCAAAAGGCAGCGAGATGCCAGACGCCGAAAAGGCCCGCATTTCTCCCCCCGTGACAATTCCACGGATGAATGCAAATGCCGTGCCCTGCGGCCTCTCGACCCCTTCGAGACAACGTTGTGGCCACATGGCGATGGCTCAATGTGGCTGGTGATCAGATCCTGTCGTCGCGGCAAAACAGTACAGAAAGTAGAGTGGTGAGCACGCACATTCGCCTCGTCGATGCCTGCTCCCACCGCAAGAGTGAAACTCGTCTTCCCAACAGCCGCGCTTCGGGTGGCTGAAACACCTGCCCTCACACCGGCGATGACATCTGCAAGCATCCGTAATTCCTCAACACTGCCCGTCAGAAAAAACCAAAGCGGCACTCAATCCCTGCAGCCACACATCCCTCGTAACCATTTGCAAACTCGTTATCCAGCAGAAACGCTTAAACAACATAACAAGATGACCGTGCATTGCTGGCAAGGGACAATAGTACTTCGCTTTCATCCTGCAACGGAGAACTATGCCTCCTGCGTAACGCGACTGCAAGCACGTGGTGCGCCAACACCGAAGCGGTGGGCATGTTGCCCCATGACCCTCCCCCTCCACAGGGGCCCAAGAAGTGCAACAGACCATCCTCTCACCAAAGAAAAAGCCCAATGGAGCGGACACTGCAGTGTGCGGACCACCCAGCAGAAACACCCTCAGAGAACAAATGCTCTTGAATGCCCTTCAGAAGGGGCCAGCGGGTTGGCCGTGAAGCCAACAGACACCGGAGAGCCGCCTGCTCTGCATGTATCCAATGGCGCAATCGAGCGCGCAGTGTTGCAGGGCACATCAAAAATCCCATTCTCGTCTCCGTCTGTGCGGGCACGACAGTCCTGCCATCACCCTTCGCCCTCACAAAGTATTCCACAGGGTCCTTTGACCAAATACCGCCACACGGCGATATGCCACCGGATAAGTGCTCTCCATACCGCACAAAATAAAATTTTCCCCACGTCGAGGACCGCAGTGAAAACGAGCATAACGATGAGCAACACGAGGGTTGTCTGTGCTGCGTTTCATCGCAACACTCTATCCTCCGTTGGTTCAGGCCTTTGCCACACAACGAGGAACAGATGTAACATCACTTACACGCAACAGAGTGAAATCCGCAAGAACATTGTCATACAGGACGCAACATCCACCGGCCCGGTCAGCAGCTGTTGTGGTCATATTCCGCGAAACATGATTCACACCCACAGAGAACTTGTTGTCCAGTTGCACAAATAATTGATGGGCCAAGCAACGTGGGCCCATGAACGACAACACCAGTCGATATTAGGCCTTGGAACAGCCAGTGAGAGCCATTGATTGGAATAAACACCAAAGCCCCCAGCGGCCAAAAGAACTGCGACAAGGCACTCGTACTTCAATCAAAGAACAGATTCGTCTCGTTCAGGAACAAAGAACAATAAATAATATTTTTCCTCCTCACAGAGCCTTCGAGCAATAAAACACTATCATGCAATCCGCCCCTATCGGCACTGCTCAGGAGCACGAGGCCTGTGCAATGTGTAGAGGGCTCTGCAATCAGGCGAATGAGATGCTCCACGGCGGCACTCAGACTCCTCCCAGGCCAAGCATCAACCAGTCGCGAGCAGCATGCCTCTTCATGGACTCTCCGTTTTGGTTCCAACCGAGACGGAAAGCCTTCGTCGCTCAGCACCAACCCCGCGTTGCGTCGTGTCGTCAAATAAAACAAGTGAGGACGACGGAGCACATCATCAGGGAAATCGCCCTCATTTGTGGGAAACGGCATCGCATCCGCCGGAAACAGATGCGCATGATGTCCCTCCACGTCAGCCGCGCAGCCTGTCAGATGAAGGAAATTTCGGTGAAACGGAAGTCAGCGCACTCACCTCCACCCCAGGCAGTTTTATCAGGAAGATCGAAACATCAAGTCGGGGGCTCCACACTTGTTGAGGGATATCGTGACCATCTGACAAGTCCACGTGCATTTCCACACAACGTCCTACTTCCTTTTCTCCCTCTGCATGCGCCCGCACCGTCTCTTAAGCCACATCCAGGACAGATTAGATAGCGAGTGGCACCTGGTCAGCCAGCGCCGTTCCATTCCTTAAAGCAAGGAAGCTAACAGCCTCAAAATCACCCGTCCATCAATCAATGATGCCGTTGACACAATGCCTCCTCGGGCCAACGCCACACACTTGTTCCGGAGTACGTGTTATCCCATGCCTCGCTGACGCCAACCTCAGCATCCTACACAGGTACACCGTGCATTCACTCCCAAAATACGGATGTGGACTACACCTCAAGAAAACTGCACAATAAACCTGCAAACTTCTCGTTGAAAGTTATCATTGTGTTGGGTGGCAGAGGCAACGCACTCACACGTTGCACCTCCTCAGGAAATCAAAGAAGATAGCAACCATCATTCAATTGGGATGGGCTTTTCAAAACCCCTTGCAACTTTTGTATGATGGGGTGCTTCAGTGCATATGAAACCTTGACCGCGGGACGGAATGCCTATTCTCTCTAAAAACGTAGGTGTAGATCCACGGAAAAAAAATAAATGACACAACTGAACTAGAATGCCACAAATAAAAAAATGTAAAATATATATATAACCATAAATATAAAAATAAACATCAATTGATGTACATGTACATATATGTATATATATCGATGTAGATATGAGTATAGAAACATTCTATATAATTAAAATATATAGATATCTATTTAGATATGAATATACCCCTCTATCCCTTTTTTTCCTCATTGACAAATTTTTTTTCGTTCATTGATTTATTGATTTGTTGCTTTATTAATTACAAACATGTACATCCCTAGATAAACAAATGGGTATCGATATTTATTTATTTATTTATATTCGCCAATTTTGGTATTTGTATATTTGTTATTATTACTTACTTCTTGCATTTCTTCGTTTTTTTTTCCTAAATAACCTCAAAGACCCGCACGCCGGCCACCATCGTAAAGCACGTCCGCCATGCTGATTGGAGATGCGGAAGAGAACCCCAACCCCCGGAGATGGCGCTGCAGGAGACGGCGTAAAACACAACCCGTTACGCGTCCCCTCGGAGTAGTGGAGTAAAAAATAAATAATCCGTCACTGCCAAGAAATCAAGTAACAAATTTTCAAAAAGTCCGTAAATGAGGAGAAAAAGAGGGGAACCTACCAGGAGCAAAGGCAATTTGCCGCATCTGCAAGGCGTCTTCCACCTCGTCGCCGTGTGGGGGTGATGCTTGGGGGGCGGCAGAGCCTTTCCCCCT